TTTTCTGTAAAGCAGTTGCCTTTAAGTCTATGTCACTCCACACCCACTGACTGACGGGTCAACACCGTCCTCAACAATCCTCCCAAACCACCACATTTGATTGCCATGGAAATATCATGAGGCCATATACACACAAAGCATACCAGCGTCAGGAAACTGACTCTCGCTCACAAACGAATGAATAGCAGTAATACTAGCTAACTAGGTAGCTAATGAGATACAATGACGGATTAAGAAACAACTGTTCAGGTACATTGGCTAGGCTTGACCTTTGTACAGTATCTGAGGTATAACCACCAACATTAGACACCTGTGTCTGAGATGTGCTAGAAAATGGTTATGGGATCATATGGTGGCACGAATATACTACATTTTGGATTAGGGGTGGACAATATGCCAAAAGAATATCACATCATGATACTTGCATTTTTTACAATACGCAATATGGATCACAATATTTTGACATACCAACAATTTTTATTCAACACTTCAGATGCTGTGCTGCACTAACTCTGATTTTAAAAGCCTAATTATACTTCTTAAAGATACATGCGATCGGTCAGTAATCTTTAGGTACTGACAACAACGACAATGTGCTCAGAAAACCATATGATCAAGATGACATTTAACTGTTATTACTAAAAACGTACTTATTGCCCACCTCTGTTTCCAAAATCCAACATCCCACAGGTTGTAACCCCAGATCTTTTCAAAGCTTAAATGATGAACTGTCAACAGAGTAAAGTAGTTTACCCTCAGGTGCTTTTACCCTCAGATTTGTTAATTTTGAATTATCTGGCAGATTTAATTTTGCACATAAGTCATGTTAAAGCTTCTCACATGCTTGATTTTTTTCACAACCAGCAAGCTGCTAGTTGCTGAATGGAGTACAACAAAGAAAACACTTTTTTCCCCATATTCATCAAAAGTTTTTAGCAAATCATCAATCAGCAAGATTGTGGTGTAGAGGTCAACTGTAGTGGAAAGACACTCCAACAGGCAATAGCTAATATTCATTTATTTTATCAGTACTCTATGAGGTCAAAAAACAAGTTGTTTAGTCGGTTTTAACTTTATTTTTTGCATATACATAAAAACTACTGAAAGGTACAGGTCAAAGATTTACAGTAGGAGAGGTGGGACTGTACGAGGTACAAAATAAGCCAGCAAATGCAGCCAAAGGACTCGTGCCGCTATAAATACCCCAACGCTTGGAGCATGCGAGATACAGAAGCACTGCATGTTCCACACAGGCAGTCTCCTATCAGCAAACTCGGAGCCAGAGACAGTTTTTACACTGATCTGAAAGCAGTCTGGTGACTTATGGCATAACATTAGGGTTTACAATTCGTGTACAGAAAACAGGTCCAAGATAAGGGCCTAGAAAAGGCCAATCTCCACCCAGAGCAAGTGTGCTCGCTTTGTGGGAGAGGTCAGAGTACAACATCTGTTTGTTGACTCAGTGAAGCTCAGCACTGTTTGATCAAACAAGAAAGTAAGGCCGCACTGTGACAAGCGTCATCTGATATTCTATGATTTATACTTATTCAGCCATGTTCTTTTTGAGATCTACTGACCAGAGGTACAACTGTACACACATTGGTTTGGCTCAGATTATTTCAGCCAAACCTCTAGAATTTATAAGCAACTTCAGAAAAACGCCGAGTCACTGGAGTGCGGGAGGGTCCACAGCATAAAGCCCCACCGCCCCCTGCCCAATTTTCTTTAAAAAGATGTTAAATGAAAAACGCTCAGAAGAAACTGAGGGTCGTATCAGCAATTTAGTTGTATATTTTTCTTTGTTTTATCTTTTCGATAGTGTATTGGTATCAATACATCCTTATTATTGTGTACAATACACTTAACACAGAGACCTTATCAGCCACTCAACATGCTAGTCTGCTGAGAATAAGGATGCACTAAAATATCAGAATCATGTCGGTATCAGCAGTTATTTGCTCAAAAAAAAAAAATGACTGGACCGATATTTCAAACCAATATTTGATGACCTCATGTATTGAATAATTTTAGCGTACTCTGGAAGAGCACCATGTTTAGGCCACACTGACCTACAGTGCAAAAATATCTGTTTTATTCATGTTTGTAATCCTCTACAAATAAGTGTTAGTAGGTAATAAGTGGATCTAGTACTAATTTCTACATTTTGTAAATGTTTACATATTGGCATTGGTATCGGCAGATAGAGATGTATGAAAAGGTTTAAACACCCATCGTCAATGCTTTAAATATGGCTTTTTTTCTGCAAAACGCAGTGCACAATTTCCATTTATTTGCTGAATTTAACATACTGGTGGAAAAGAAAAAAAAACATACAGCATAATATGCCATAGCATTTGCACAGGCCACATCTGATGCTATATTTCTTCCCCCAATATACTAAAACTGTGCTTTTAAATGTGCAGAGGTGTGTTCTCTATAGAGGATGTACTTATTTTCACAATTAACAAAATTATTTGTTTGGCACCCAAACGTTTGCACATCAAAAATATTTGATACTGGCATCAGCAACTGGCAAATTAACACAAGCAGGTTAACTGGCAATGCATTCCTTCCCACATGCTTCAGTCTTTGCCCTAACTGACCTATGTTAAAGTGAATTTCTGTTCAGGACAAAAGAGGAAGTTTGTGCCGCTGGTACATTTAGTAGTCTTGCTTCATAGGTATGACAACATTAGCAACAGGGCTTAAATGTCACAATCAACTAAAATCAATGAAGTCAGCAGCACAATGAAACCAAGTCGTTAAACCACAAAACAGGTGACCAAAACAGGAAATGACCCTTTGTTTAGCTCTTGCCGAAAGCAAAATGCACACAGGAACAGATAACCTTACCTTCTTACAAGCAGTATTTACAGGTTCTAACAAATTTAGTAATATCAGGCAACAAACCAGCCTGACACAACTCGGAGTAAGAAAAATAACCAATTCTTGATTCTATCTTTGCATAGATTCTGCACAGATGCACAAAATATAATAATTTCTACACAGATTTTTAAGTGTAACTGAAAACAGTCACCAATATCAAACATTTCTGATGAAAACACTACAGGCTACTATGTGTATTGTGTGCAATGTAACAAACAACAAAAAGATGCAGTTTAAAAATGCAGTCAACTTTGTTGTTTTGTTTTGATACTCATTACAACGTAAAACCTACAGAAGTGTTTATGTTGGAGGTAAACAAACCAAGCAAGTTGTGACATTGCTGTTTATTAGCTAGGAGCCATATACCAGTTTCAGCCTATTTTGTAAGTTTTTTTTTAACCTCATACAGAGCAGAAATAAAATGTGGGTTAACTGTACTTGCTCAAATGTTTTGTTATTACCACTCGTTATATTTGTATAGCGTTACTGCTTTGTTGGACTGTTTGCTTGTCTCCACCATGATGAACACAACAGTGACGACTCTGCTAATTCACCTGACTTCATCATCCAACATCGAGGGGTGTTCACATGGTGCCTATTGATGAGAAACTCATATTCCATTGAAAGCAGAAACAGAAATAAAAAACAAGAAATCATTTTAAAATCACATCTCGGCACTCTGAAGCAAAATTGAACTGAATTGCGAATTGCAACACTCGCTTATGTCCCTCTGAAGCTCTCCTTTTGTATTATATAACTATCACATAAAGAATGAGTGTGTGCATCAGCCTGTAATTGTGGGAAGCGTTTGTTGGAGGCATTAGTGACTCACTGATGTGGTGAATGGTGTCTGCCATGACCTTCATGGTTTCTCACACTTCTGTTACAGCGGTTTGGACACAAAGCACTACAGTTGGACTTAATTCTTAATTTTTTCTTTAATTCTTTTTAGACTTAGGAAGGAAGAGTAATGTTAAAAGAGCATGACAGATGTCTTTCATTATTCTTGAGACAGTAGACTGTGGAGTCTTTTTAATGCATCCAATTTGCTGAAAGAGAACTAAACAGTAAATCTGCAACGTTCAATATTCAAGTCAACCATACTGGAAAAGGAACAATTCACCATAAGGAAGGCAGTTATAGGAGACGTTAAGTAGCCTTAATGATCCAAAAAAGCTATGTATGAAAAGGAGAACATGGATCATTATTCTCTATAATGCTCAAACTTTCACTCAACATTCATATCCCAACATTTGTGAGGGGATGCCAGTCGAGTATATTTGAGGGCCTTGACTCAAGTGAGATTTTTAACTCTGTGAAAGCACTAGTATAACAGCAGGGCTGTAACAATATGCTTTTTTGGATTCTACACAATTTTCAATACTGGGGTCAAACTTGATTTTTAGTATTTTGTGTGAAAAATTCCTTGAGCCTACAGCGCTTTGACAATATACTACATAGAAAATGACGTGTTATTTCAAAACAAAATATCCTTGTGCAAATCAGTGATCTGTGCCACTGAGCTACAAACAATACAAATTAGATAAGATGCACCAAGGAGTTAGGGGTGGGTAATATGACAATTTTTAGCATTATCATAAACATTTACACTGTAAAATGTTTTTTCTGAGCATACTGTGGATGTTGTCAATACTTGAAGAGCACTGACCAAGTGCATGTTTTTCAAAAAAAAAAGAGCATAATAGGGACTATTTAACTGATCTTACTGCAGTGTGAAACAATGAACAAAATCAGTGTACTCATGGCTTTGATAGTACTTTTAAATTTGACATTACTAGGACTTGTCTGTACCAACTTATCAAACCACAGAACAACGAAACACTGCAACTCATATCCTGTATGATGAAAGTAGTGTGGTGTTATCCCAACCCAGATGCCGTGTTTTAATCCTTATGGTGGAAAGATGAAAAGAATGAGAATAAATGAGCAAATAAGAAACATTTAAAAGAGAGTGGAGGCAGTTCTAAATTTCGATACAGCTTCAAACGTTCACTTCGCCGATTTCTCAATACTGTATTGAAATCGTTACAGCCTTGGCGCACCGGGCAGCCAACATCACAGCAAACACAGTGAGGACGCTCTTCTGTACTCACAGTCGAGATGCTTCTTTTTGGGTCCGCTAACTTCATGCGTTGTGGCTTTGCAGACGGCTTTGCTGATCGCGGATCCGGTCATGCTGTGCTGAGCCGCCGCGATCCGATCAGTGATGGATTGGCCTGACATCTTTTCTTCTTCGGCTTCAAACCACCACAGTTAATTAACGAGCACTCGGCTGAAACGGTTCTCTCTTTAACAAACGCAGTCAGCTGGTTAGCTAACTAATGTAGAAAAAGATCTCGAGTCAGTAAAAGTGACTGACTTATAAAAACGCAATTAGCTAGCTAACTAACTAGTTAATATTGAGCTGGCTACCAACACGGATGATACTCGTATCCGCTTATTATGCGCGATGAGTTGTAAGATACGTTTCGTAACAAAATATATTCTAGCTAGCTAGCTACCTAACCTAGCTAGTACAAATGTTGTCGCAACCGGCTAACTGATTAACTTAGCTTCTGTTAGCTAATATAACCATAACAGCATTCAAACCAAGTACATGTCCTAATACTGAAATCTGAGCATATAGGAACATTACAAAATGACATAGCTAGCTATCCGTCAATCCAGATCAGAGGACACTGAGGAAAATACCACGTAGACCCAAGAGAAAAAAAGCTTAAAGCAGGACGTGAAAGACGAAGCACGCTGGTTTAAACAAATCAAACAAATCCGTTTGCCTTTCTTTTTCAGCTACAAATGCTTTAGTTATCTACAAACATTAGCTAGCTAGCAACTGGCATGGATTTCCTGGTAAGAAAAAAAATGCATAGACATCATCAAACTAAATCAGCACCAGTAACTTGAAAGAGGATAAGCGCTTTAGCAGGCTAGCCAGCGTTACTCCAAAAACGGTCGTCACGTAACGTTAATCTGTTCTGTTCACAAAAATACGAACTAACGTACCCGGCAAAAAGTATCATTTAATTACACTGTAATGTTAGCCAAATGTCTAAAGAGTTTAACTAACAACTTAACCGGCTGAGACGAGTTGCATTTGTAGGCTAATTAGCTCGCAGGTTAGTTACCCAGATTACTAGCACGCTCGCCCTGTCTGGACAGACTGTCCCAAACTCTTTTACAGCTGTAACGTAACGTTAACTTGCTGAATACCAGCAGTGAGCTGTCGGGCTAGCTAAGACTGCAGCTATCTTCACAGTTCGCTGACAAATGCGACATTAAAAAAACGGCGTCTCATAACCGGAAAATCCGCCTGACACGAAGACAGAAAAAACTGAAAGTGTCAAGCTTTTGCCAAGTTGCAGTCCAAAACTAGCTAACCTGGCTACAGCTTACACGTCTAATCCTATTGAAAGTGGTTAGCCCCTGAATGCTAACGTTAGCTAGCGTCTCGTCCGAATCAGGCAAAAATTTAATCCATCTGTAGGACCGTCATGAGAGAAAAAACTGCGGGTTTAAATCAATAGCTGGCGAAAATTACGGCGGGGAGTGCTTTTGTCAGCTCCCCTCCAATACCATTCGTACTGTCGGCTTTTCGTTATTCCGGTTTCGGAAGAGTGAGTGTACTGGAGCAGTTGTAGACAAAATGGCTGCGCACAAATCAGGTGATCACACAGAGGGCTGATTGGACCGGGCGGAGGAGAAGTGTCTGTGAGGACACGTTAAAGGGCCAATATCCTACACTTCTTGTATTTCACATTTTTCTCTGAAAAGACTCGTGGCATTTGTGCGGCGTTATGTACCGAAACCTGTCATAATCGATTTTTACATGTCCCTTTTCCATCCTTTATACTTTAGTATTAAACAGGCTCTTGATGTGCCTATAAAGTTAACCTGAAATCAAAAGTATTTTTTTTTTACCTCGTTAGTTCTCTAGTCAGGTTAAGCACAATTCACCATACATATCACTTTTAAAGACTAAATTAGTATTTTCCTGTAATCTTTGATCAGAGTGTAGTGACTTTTGCCTGCCTTTAAAATGTCTTCTGAATTTTAATTACATCTCCTATCTAATGCCACATTTCACTGGGATATAAAGGAAATTATATCAGATTCCCACTGATTTTAGACTACTCTGTGTAATTTATGTATGTTCTGATTGGCTTCCCTGTATTGTGCTTCATTCAGAAAGCAGTCCGAATTGAAACACTCCTTTTAATTTCAACATGAATGTCCAGGCTAAACTGCTGTAGGCTGAATGCGTGAATGCTTTGGTTGACATCACAACATATAGACTGCATGGATGGTAAATGGCAGCCTACAAACTTTAGCAACATTTACAAACTACATCAAACTTTTATTTAAAAAAAAGTGAGGAAAATTTGATTTTCAATATTTGCCATTTAATGTGAAAAAATTTAATGTGTTAAACGTAAAAAGGGCTTTCATAAATACTGTACCAACATAATGGAAAGACTGTAAAAAAAACTTGGATTAGTTCATATAAATATTAAGAGGACACATTTTTGTAAAATTCTTATCTGAATAACAATTTACACCTAAAGTGTAAAGTCTGTGCACTCTTGCCAAAATTAAAAATATAACCATTGCTGCATATGTTGTAAACATGGCTACGTGTCTCCTAGATTTTCTGGTTTAAAGACTAAGAAAATCTCCTTCTGATGATGTATCTTGAAGGCAGGAGGAACTTTTGAAAAACTACAGATGCTTTATTTTTTTATTATTATTACTTTTGAGCTGGTGAATGCAGAAGAAAGACAGATGCAGAAAGGAGCCAGATGTTACGGATGCATACACAAAAATGATACAAACATTGTGAATTCTGTCAAACTGATAAGACTGAGGGATGCAAAGCTGCACCATATGTGTTACAAAACATGACAAATAATTTTAGGCCGAAATGCTTTTAAGGTGGCTCCTCTTCACTGTGATGGTGTGTGACTGGGCCTTTTCACAAAAACTGCAGGTCTTTAGCCTAAATTCCACTGGTCATGTGCCAAATCCTACCTGGTTTATCTGTATGTACTTTCCTTAAAATGAAATGTGCATTAAATCCAGTAATTTGGGAAGAAATTAATATAATGACAAATTTCAAATCCTTTACATGAAGTCTAGAGAATTATGATATTCAGACTGCATGACAAGCATCACTCTTAGAAGAAGCTACAATATATGACATGTGCCATTTCATAAGCCACCTCTCATGTCACACAATATTGCTCTTTGCTGAGAACCCTGGCTGAAGCCTAGGGGAAGAATGGAGCAATTTCCTGTTTTGGGGAAACAAATGACCACTGCAATTATGATCACCCCAAAGGGAACCCAGAGTCGACAGATGGTGTGCATATTATCACACATTATTTTGTTATTTACTGGCCTCAATTATATTTCTTTGGCAGATTTCAAAGCATTACTTCACTAATGTCCACAGTGCATGAAAATTTGTGAATACCTTTAATTCAATGTTATATTTTTCAAAGTCTCCAAAAGAAGCCATGTGATTTCTCCAACACCCAGTAGGAATCCTTGTGACCTCGCTGTGAGACCAGTACCAAAAGACTATCATGCTATATGTGACAGGAAATGTATTTGTGTGAAAAAGTCCTTTACCGTCTCATTGTAAGGAAGTGGCTGGGTGAGGTGTAAAACCACAATGACATCGGAGCACATCTACTATAGACCACCAAGTTCTGAACAAGGAGGCCTCTGTCTTCATAGGTGGGTCACAGTAATAAATGAATCCAGCTGTAATTTTCTGAAAAAACATCATGTGGCCTATCATAGGCATGTTACTACCAGTATAAACATGAGTTTTTTTTTTTATTTAGTCATTCACATGGACCTAATACGTAACAGTTTTTCATAAACAGATATATACATATACACACATAAATGTTTACAAATTTGGGAATGGCACAGCCTGTTACCTACATTCATCACTACAAGTCCATTTCATGGCTGACAAATTCTGATCACCACATTGATAATAGAGCAGCCCCATCTAGAGGCAGGCAGAGAGAACTATTGCCATGGCAACAGGCTCCTCGCGGCAACCATAGCTGCAGCCTGCAGATTACCTCCCCAGAGGACAACTTGTCAATCAAACAAGAGGCTCTGGAGGCCACTCACTCATGAAAGATTTCAATAATGTTAACAATATGTATATATAACACGAATTACGTGTGTAAAGACAATTCAGTTATGTGCCCATAATGACCATTTCTGTGTCCATAATGACCATCATTACTACTGCTATCACAGTGCATTATTAGTCATCAATAGTGCTGTGTGAGGCCAATTACTGTATACTTCATTTTCACCCCCAAGACACTCAAAGGAATAAAATCAGCACTGGCTGTGCCTTTCTCAGCAAAACATAATGATCAGAGCCATAATCGGAATTCCTTTTGGGCACTGTAATAATGCAATCAGTGTTCTCTCATAGCCTTTACTCCAGTCACCCCTGCTATTCTTACCATTTTGCCATTTCCATCATATCATTCAGGTACCAGGCTCTGCAGAAAAGAGAGAAGGGTCAAAATAACATACAGTAGCTAGTCCTAATGCACACAAACAGAACCCTACAGTCTTTAAAACAAAGGTTCCTACGTGATTCTTGGCTTCGGAAAAGCTTTAATTAGTACAGAACAATTATGTGGAGGTTCTTTAAAGTTTAAAAATGTATGTGCAAACACATACATCCCATTTACATGTAATCACAAAGCCTCTCCGTCCCAGAGCAGTTCTTCTGTGGCATTGCTTCAACGAACCCTTTTTGGCACCTTAAGAGCATATTTTCAGACCACTCCAGATAGGCTGTCATCTTCTGGCCCGACTCCTATTGGCTGGCAGCATCCAGCGCAGATGTAGCGCAACACACAGAGGTAAATACTGCCGGACAGTCCTACGGTGAAAGCCAGCAGGATCAGACTCAGGTACGACGGTCCAGGTGTGTACACTACACCTGGGAAGAGGTCGCTACTCATGACTGGAGGGTGCTCTGATATCTGGGCTAGAAGCAGGACAGAAAGTCAAACATGTTGAATCCATTTCTAGACAATACTGAATGGTTAGAAAAATGTACAGCAACTTTAGATGACAGGCTAATGACGTTTGCTCGAGGGTCGTACCTGAATTTAAGGGAAATACTATCACAAACAGAAGCCCAGCTCCATTCCACAGCATAGTAGTGAATGAAATGTGGGGTCAGTATCCTTGGAGAGCAAAGAAAGATTGCAAAAGCAGCCAACAGCCTACACACTGACATGTTCAATGGATTAAAAGCCCGTTAATCAATACTTTCATTTTCAGCCAAAAGGTAGCAGTCCCTGCTAGAAAACCCAGCGTGGACCAGCACGCCTGGTCAGCAGCTCCATCACAATGAGCATTATGTTGTGTTTTGGGTGCTGGTACTCTGGTCAACCAGCATAACCATGCTGGGTGACCAGCTAAACCAACATCAGACCAGAATAAATCAGCTTGGACGTGCTGGTTTGTGCTGGGTTTTTTTCAGTAGGGTTCCCACATTCAGAAAAACGACCAGACTGCTTACCCGGTCACCAGTTCCCCAGTGTTGATAAAGCTGTATCCATTCTTCGCTGGAAGAGAGAGACACTTTCTCTGTCAGCCATTCATTCACTTTGGTTCAGCTTGGCTACACGGCTGGTTAGCATCGCTTTCTTCGAGGCGCTGCAGTCTTTCAGAGGCATTAAAACATGTGAAACAGCTCAGGCGTCTTTTCCTCGGTCGCCATACGTGTAATAATCTTCATTCTCGTAGACTACTCAGTTTCGTCAGAGGCTTCACCGTCATTGGCAGCGTGTGAGAGAATGGCCAGACAGAGTAGCTACTGAGGGGTTGGAAAAGGAGGTGGAGAGACACAGCCCGGCAGCCCTTCACTGCTGTTATTTTACTACATGGCTTCAAGATTTAACGATAAAATGTCTCCTCCACTCGACTTTAAGCGCTCATTTATTCACAGCAGAACAAAACCGTCTCCTCAAGCTGTGGACGCATCGCTCCAGTGTGTCAGTATGTAGGCTGTAGGCTGTTGTATAGCTAGTGTGGCTTTAGATTAATAGCTGTCCCTGTTCATTCCTGATCAGTGTGAGATATAAATAGCAAGCATACATCGGTCCGATGGCTTCATATGATCACCACCCCCGCTGACTGTTTGCCACTGCTGGTCCACCCAGATTATTCCATGCTGAAAAAGGACGGTTAGAAGCGTTTAGGATTAAAACCCACTTGTTTTTGCTTTCTAATAGGAATTGGCTTAATGTTTTCCAATAGAGACCACAAGTTTCTATAGAATAACTTTAGACCCCATTAGGAAACCATCAAATGCATTTAGAATCAGCCATTGGTCACCTGTTAAACCATTAGGAGTCTTTAAATCCTATCAACCCAATAACCCGATATCAACACAATAAAAATGCCAAAACACATTACAAAATCATCAGGAACTAACAGAAACACTTCCAATGTTGTGATTTCAATGGGTTTTCTCAGCAGGGTGGTCCTGCATACAAGATCTTTTACTTCTTAATCACCTCAGACAGATTATAAGTGCAAATAATGTTTTATGTAGGAAAATAATACAATTATTGCAAACAATTAAGAGAAAAAGAATACCTAATATAAAATTATTTTGTTGAAAAAGTAGCTGACACTGCTAGGTTGGTCATAGCTCTATATTAAACACACACACACACACACACACACACACACACATTTTTATACTGCTTATCTTTCTGGGTCACGGGATATTATAGTAGTATTAAACTTGTTTACTAAACTAATTTACAAAGAAATAAAGAAAGAAAGAAATGAAAGAAAAACAAGTAAATTAAAAAAAAGAGAAATTAGAAAGAAGCCAGTGGGCCACCAGCGTTGCCATCACTGCGCTAACGGTGGCCCTTGCTATCAGGGTTACACACACTGGTCACTTTATTAGGTCAGTGTGAATTTACAAACCACTGCTTCGCATATTGTCACAGCTTTTTGGACATGACTTTTGTACACTCATTGTTCATTTTATCAACAGTACTTAACTTATAGGTGCATAATGTGTCAGCCTTTCTGTACTCCATTCATCAGCGGTCAGGACCCCCACTGAGCAGTTATTATTTGTGTGGTGGATCATTCTCAGCACTACTGTGATACTGACAGGGTAGTGTTGGTACAAGGGCATCAGACACGGCTGTACTGGAGTTTTTAAACACCATGTCTTCTCACTGTCCACTTTATTAGACACACCTACCTTGTCCATCCACCTTGTAGATGTAAAATTGGAGATAATAGCTCATCTGATGTTTGTTGTCATCCTCTAGTGCTTCATCAGCAGTCAGTTTCTGCCCACAGGACACTGTTGGCTGGATATTGTTTGGCTGGTGGACTATTCTCAGTCCAGCAGTGATCCACTCTGTGAGGCACACACACTCACTAACATCACTATCATGTCAGAGTTGCAGAGCGCAGTGCTGAGAATGATCCGCCAAATAATACCTTCTCAGGGGTGGTCCTGTGGGGGTCCTGACCTTTGATTGTCTGTAATAGTAGAACTGCAAAGTGCTCCTATATGGTAAGTGGACCTGATAAAATGGGCAATATGTGTAGATACAAGGTGTACCTAGAGTGGCCAGTAAGTGCATGTTGAGTTATGGCTCATTGCCATATTCTGTGGATTATCAGTGCCTTTGTGCTGTTTGGTGATGCAAATGATGCCTTTATCTCGGTTGAAGAAATGGCAATTAAAGGTCATTGAAACAGATGCTTCTCCGTTTCTTTGCCAGGTCACACATAATGTTGGTTGTTTTCAGGAGGCATTTACAAATGGCAATTCCAAATGGGCATGCTATCTACATTACCATATGCACGTAATCATTTCAGTGCAATTTTACCAAGCTGAAACACACCTTCCAAAATACCTATTATTTGTCAACGCATAATCTGTTGGGTGTATTTTTAGATCCCGGCAGCTGTGAGGATCCTAAAATTACAAGGGATGGAGAGGAGAGCAAGGCTGGAGTGTGCATGGCAGCAGTAATTAGTGGAGGGATGTGGTGGAGTGCACAGAGACACTGTAGCATATGGGTTATGACATGATAAACACTTCAGCAGATTCCCCAGAGCACCTTCACCATTCAGATAAGCTGCATCAACAGCCTGGGACACATTTAAACACCAGGCACGCACCTGCTCAGCATCAAACACACTCACACTCATACGCCACATACACAAACACTATTAGGAGTTAAGGCTCCCATAGAATTTCATTTTGTAAAGTATGCAGACGTTCCAGTACGGCGCAAAAGTCACAGACCAGTTCTTCATTTTTTTAATTTTCAGTCAAAACAGACATTAAGTACAACTGATTCATTTTTCAGTGTCAAGAAAAGGAAGTAGAAACATATATTAAGCAGAAAATCATACAAAAGCCTCAACAACAAAATATGAAATTATAATTTTTAATATTCAGAATACCCACCCTTACCTTTATTTTAGTTTCCATTCTTTTCAGGAGACTTGCTTTCACTTTTTATAGAAATCTGCACGGATATTTTCCACACCTCCAAAGTTCAGTCTTGGAAGTTGGTTGCATTTTCTGCATCTCATGATCCAAATAATCCCAAACACATTCAATGGTTTCCTTCTCTCAGTAACAGTTTCTTGATGGATACGCATCCTTTTCGATTTGTTCAGATCTGAATTAAGAGTAGAGCTTGATTTTCTCCTCTCTCTCAAAAATGAACGCTTGAAGCTCTTTTATCTGATGGTGAGAGTTTTGATGGTCTACCAGGTCTTACATGGTTCCATTTTCTCTGCATCTTTTAATCAATATTTGAACTTCAGTTTTGGAAACTCCTGTTTTCCTTTGACTTTCCCCTTTTTTATGCAAGTGGTTTGTCATGTATCTAGTCTCTTCATATATATCATAAATATCTCCTGTAAAATGAATAACTTGTACTTATCATTTTGACTGGAAATTAAACAGATGAATTCTGTGGTCTCTGACTTTTGTCCAGTACTGTATGCATAGACACACACACACACACACACACACACACACACACACACTACACTACACAGCTGTTGTACTGCAGTGTAACTATGAGACAGTGTTCAATGTTGACTGTGCTGCACACAGCATTTTATACTGATGACATAGTTTTTCTGGCACAAGTGTTAATGCTCTGGTCGAAGCTTCCTCAACAGCAGTCTAGTATGGCTTCGTTCAGCAAAGCCCAAAAGGCCAGAAAACTCACATTTGAAAACTGGTTCCTCTTTGTAAGCATTTTACTGTGTTTTTCAGCTGATATTTAAAAAGTGCAAAACAATCTACAGTCCATTTTTTCCTCACATGCATCTCTAAAGCACTGGCAAAATTCAGATACAGATATATATACAGACACACATGATTTCATGATCTATAAAATAATCTTTTTAGGCCCATTCAATAGATGCATGATGTTAGTTAGCAGAGGTTACACATGACTCAAGCTGTTGCATCACTTTGCTTGTCTGACACTATGGTCAATGAAATAATGATCCATTTACTATTCAATAATAATAATAATAATAATAATAATAACAATAATAATAATACTATTATATTTGTATCATTCTTATTATAGGTAGAGATCTAAATAAAATATATTTAAATACATAAATAAAATATGTAAACTATTTCCAATTGAAGCACTTCACTTAAAGGGGCATTCTGACCAAAAAACAGCACTTAATATTTTGTCATGTTATGTAATTTTCTGTAGTGCAGCATTGCGTTCTGAAACAACTAATATTTCAGGCTAGATTTGTAATAGAACATTTGATATGCCCTCTCTGATTATCTTAAAACCTACTGCATATTTGCACCATATTTACACCAATTCCTGTGTGACTTGTTTCATGTTTTCTTAAAATTCGTTATTGTCTGTGGGAGGCGAGCGCAGTCTAGAGCAGGCGGAGCAGCCAGAATTAGAGCGCTCACGCAGGTTGTAGTCAAACGCAGGCAGGATCACTAGACTAGGATCTGAGTCTACAGGAGTGTTATCAACATCACTCGCCATGATGTTCTCTACCAGACACATGATGGCTGCATCAATGTTTCTGTCGTCCTGAGAGTGAGAGAGAGAGAGAGAGAGAGAGAGAGAGAGAGAGAGAGAGAGAGATAAAAGATGATTAGGCATGTTTACAACAGATATAGCAATGGTTACATTTTTTCATTTTGCCAAGATTGCTCCTTTAAGGTGAGTATCTTAAATGTTAGATGAGGGAAAATGCTATTCTCTGCAGAGCTGTGGCCCACAAGGAACCCAGTATGACACACCAGATCCTCAATATCAACAACCCTGTTTCCAAAAGGTTGGGATGCTGTGCAAAATGTAAATAAAAACAGAATGCAGTGATGTGCAAAACATTTAAACCCTATATTTAATTGACACTAGTACAAAGACAACATATCAAATGTTGAAACTGAGAAATTTCATGTTTACCACAGTGTTGCATCATCTCTTCTTTTAACAACACTCTGTAAGTGTTTGGGAAATTAGGAGAACAATTGGACAAATTTTGAAAGTAAAATGCTTTCATATTCTTGCTTGATATCAGATTTCAGCTACTTAATAGTTAGGAGTCTCCTTTGTACTATTTTTCATTTCATATTGCACCACATGTTTTCAATGACAGGTCTGGACACCCCCATCACGCATACCATCACGAACGCTGGCGTTTGAACTATATTTTTTGAACTTTTGAATTCCTACGGATTCTCTGAATCTTTAAATGATATTATGTACTGTAGATGATGAAATAGCAATTGTTGCACTAGTTGCCTGCATAGTCTTTCACAGAGTGGTGAACCCCTCCTATCTTTATGTCTGAAAGACTCAGCCTCTCTGGGATGCTTTTTTAATACCCAATCATGTCATGTTACTGACCTTTTGCCAACTAATGCAATTAGCTGTAAAATGTTCCACTCTTTGCTCATTTATTATACTATGCTACTATATGTATGCTAACATTCATTGCATGAACATTAATGAAATAATGTGATTTCTGCCAGTAAATCCTAATTGAATTGAGAGGATGAATAAAGAGATGGAATGAGAAGATGCTCATGATGCATTACAGATTTATGTATATAGAGGAAAAGATTGACAATTCAAACAAATCAAGTTGCTGGATAAAAACAAACACACACACATACACACACACACACACACACACACACACACACACACACACACACAGAGACACACACACACATTCTGTGAGAGGCAGAGGTTTGATCTCTCACCTTTGCTGATGTCTCGTACCAGCCTATGAAGCCGTGGTCTCTGGAGAAAGCCTCCAGTTTGGGCAGTTTGGCACACAGGCCGTGTTTCTGCTGGTCACACTTGTTGGCCAGTAGAACTGCTGGCACCGGGCGACCGTTGCTAAGGGTAACCTTAGAATCTAAGTCACCCTTCCATTTGAGCACAGCCTGGAAAGTAGAGGCTCGGGTCATGTCGAAGACAACCAGGGCCCCCACCGCTTCCCGGTAATACACACGTGTCATGTTGCCGTAGCGCTCCTGACCTGGAAAGCATGGCAAAATATGAGAAAGAAAAGAGAGAAAGCAAAACTTTTGTGGTCGAAGGCAGGGCTGGGAGTAATGTTTGTTTGTGTGGTGTTTGTTAATAACACCTTTAGAGGGCGGCAGTGAGTGATGTTTATTTGGTGTTAATAACATCTTTAGAGGGCAGTGGTAGGTGATGTTTGTTTATTGAATGTTTGTTAATATCGCCTTTAGAGGGCAGCGGTGAGTAATGTTTGTTTACGTGGTGTTAACATCTTTAGAGGGCACCGGTGAGTAATGTTCGTTTACGTGGTATTAATAACATTTTTTAAAGGGCGGCCGTAAGTAATGTTTGTTTATGTGGTGTTAACATCTTTGGAGGGCAGCGGTGAGTAATGTTTGTTTATGTGGTATTAATAACATCTTTAGAGGGTGGCGGTGAGCAATGTTTGTTTATGTGGTGTTAAAAACATCTTTAGAGGGCAGCAGTGAGTAATGTTTGTTTATTTGATGTTTGTTAATAACACCTTTTAAGGGCGGCGGCAAGAGATGTTTGTTTATGTGGTGTTAATTACAACTTTAAAGGGCAGTGGTGAGTGATGTTTGTTTATTTGACATTTGTTAATATCACCATTAGAGGGCGGCATTGAGTAATATTTGTTTAGTTGAGGCTTGTTAATCTCACCTTTAGAGGGCAGCAGTGAGTAGTGACATGATTAACAATGGTCTCTAAAGATGTTATTATTGCTATAATAATTAATATAAACCGAGTGAAACATTCGACACTACTTGGCAACATCAGTTAAATCTCTTTTTAATAAAACATGCAGTTCATCAAAGTTCAGTACTGACAATACTCATGATATGTGTACAAAAGCTTATTGTGACATAATTTATCATGATAATGATTCCATATCATCCACTCCTATAGTCAAATGATTGGTTTCACAATCTGACATGTGTTGGCTGTTTACTTGTATTTGATTACCTCTTTTAGATTAAGTGGTCAGCTTTGTGTCCTAGATGTGTATGTCCTTGTATGTATGTGTGTGTGTAGGTGATGTGATTTGCTGAGCTTTCTCTCACATGACACAAATTTAGGCATAAAACCAGCTGATAGCACCACGCGACTTCCATCTCTGTGTACGGTGGGCACGGACAGAGGGAGATTTAGCCCACTCTGAACACACACACACACACACACACACTCACACACACACACACACACACAAACAAGCAGACACACGGACACTCAGAATGGAGGAGGAATGTTTAAACAAAGCATTCCATGAGGGTGTGGGTAATAAGATCAGTAATAGCCAATGATTAACACTGCTGACACTGTAACTGCGCTCTCAAAAAGCAATGACCAGCCATTCTTTGGGACAACCCTGATTGGGAGATTATTATGATAATCTCAATAAACAAGAAAGTCATATACGGAAGGAATGTTTGCAAGACTTTTTGGTGATTTACTGACACAGTGCTCCACAATAAAGACTGAAAGAACAGCAATCTAAAGTCCAATGTGTTTTGCACCCTTGTGATTTTTAAAAAATTCTGAATAATAAAATGTTTAGAATGTGAGCAATTTCATTCAGATGGGTTCAAAATGCTCTGTTCTAGAGAAACTTACTCTGTCACAATTGTTCACAGTGGTGTTCAGAGGCCAGACCAGACACCTGAAGCATTTAATGCCTTCAACAGAAAGCTATTAAATGACATGGTTACAAATACGCTGTCTGATGTCTGACACATTGTTTTTTGGTAGTTTTAAGATAAAAGTTTATCTTAAACACCTTTTTTTTCAGATTTCGAACTATTTTACCATCGTTACATACGAAAAAATCAGAAGATGCGTGTAGATTCGCTGGTTGAATAAAACAGCTATATCTGCATTGTAGACATCATGATTCCTGGTTCCTGTCACCACCGTGAAGAAATCTGAGTCTGTAAGTTTCTCTAGAACTGAGCGTTTCACAACAAACCACTCTGAATAGCTTTGTTTACATCCTAACAACTGAATTACGGCAAAATTTTGAAAAACAGTGGTATTTCCCTTTAAAGGGAGTCTGGGAGTCTACACTGAGAAATGTAATGCATTGAAAGTATTTGATTCAAATGTGTATATAATTTCCACATTAATAAAAATATTATATTACACATCAACACAATTTAGGTGAAAAGTAAAGATACAATCATGATGATGTAATATATTTTATTTATGTGCACATTTGAATCAAGTTTTATTTAATTTCTATTTGCACAAACACTTGAGAGGAAGTTCATAAAGGCAAAGTTTAGTGGAGAAGTGAGATTGTCCAGCTGATGCTGACCCTGCTTAACCTACCGGCGATGTCCCAGAGCTGCAGGCGGACCACTGTCTTGTGGTCCCAGCTGAGGACCTTCAGGGCGAAGTCCACCCCGATGGTGGCTCTGTAGTGCTGGGAGAAGACCTGATGGACGTAGCGCTTGATGATGGCCGTTTTGCCCACGCCTAAGTCTCCGATGACCAGCACTTTCAGCAAACGCTCCTGCTGCATTCCCACCCACTGACTGACCAAACGGGACTCCAAAAACCAGAAAACTTTGGTTACCTCAAGTGTTGAAAAACAGATCTGGTTAGACTGCACATTTCCTATAGTCCCCTAGTCCATTAAACTCGCCATCTAATACACCGCACTTCGTGAAAGCCACTAAAATAACCTATCCCACACACGCAGACTGTTCAACTTCACAAAAAGTGTCATAACTGTCCAGACACGTTGCAGCTGACAAAAAAAATTGTGGCTGAAGTGTTAGATCTTCAGTGACACTTCAGAGTCCGCTGTCAGCTCGTGTGGTCACAAAGCCGGGAAAAAGACAACTGTCCTGAGAACAAAACACCTCTTCTGCTTCAGCAGCACCAGCGAGCAGTCTAAGAAAAGTAACTGGAAAAGCCAACGCAGCATCTGCTGAGTATATCTGAAACCGCCAAAAAACTACATCTCCCATAATCCTCCGGGTTCGCCATGTCCGCCTGTAAAACCTGTATTATAGCGAACCGTGTTAAAAAAGATACACAGTGAAACTACGATTAAAGAGATTATAGAGAGTGATACTACTATTCAAGAGAGTGATACTATGATTATAGAGCAGCTGGTATGAAAGCATAAAGGGTGAATTAATGACCGGGGTCATCATCCAAAGGCCTCTAACTGACCGGGTTGCTCAAACAACCAGGCCCAATACAGCTCATCGAGTGGAGACTGGATAAAAAACTGGATAAATAATTAAACCAGGGGTGTCCAGTCTCATCCACAAAGGGCCGGCGTGGCTGCAGGTTTTCATGCCAGTCAAGCAGGAGCTCATCTGAGTCCACTCACTTAATCAGCTGGTCTCAGTCTTCGAACTATTGTTCAGTGGTCCTGCTTGGTTGGAATGAAAACCTGCAGCCACACCGGCCCTTTGTGGATGAGACTGGACCCCCTTGGATTAAACCATGTATTATAATGACCAAATCACAAAAATAAATCAATAATTGTTATCTGTCCTTGGGCACCTTGGGCAATCCATACCCTGCCATTTTATTGTCATCGTTTTAATAGGCTATGTCTGTATTTGCTGCTATTTTAAAAGATGCATTGTTGTCAGAGCGGGGTGGAGAGCAATATACTACGATTTATTACTTTTGACTGCAAGTTATTCCTCTATGTAATGATGTTTGCACTTTACATCTTGCTTCATTTTTTTTAAACAGAATTGTGAAGTAGACAAATCAACAATCAGCTGTCCTTACATTTACAGTCATATACAAAGGTTTCGGTGTCCCTAGTCAGATGATATGTTTTGCTGATTTTCAAGGTAAAAATAAGTTGACACATATTAATGAACAATTACAGTGTATTTGCTGAATTTAGAGTGGGGGTGTGGGGGTGATGGGGCATAAATTGTGGCCTGTGCAAAATTATTGCACTTTTTTAAGTTTTTTTTTCCAATATGTTAAGCTTAGCACAAAAAAGAACTGGTGAGCTTTATTGGCAGAAAAATGTCATATTAAAGTGGGTTCTCTGTAGAGGATGTGTTGACTTATTTACACTTAGAAAATCAACAAAATATGTAATTTGACCAAGTGTGCTAAAACTTTTAAACTTTGCATCCAAAAGTACACATTTAGTAAAGGCCTTTATTCATAAAGTCAGAACAGATTTTATTCTTATATGTACAGTGCCAGTCAAAGGTTTGGACACACCTAACTGAATATGCACTTTGATGTAAATACCAGCTTAAATGCAGAGGGTTCTTTAAAAAAAACATATACAACAGCTTTTACCAGAGAACCATTGAAGAACTGTTTTTAAAGGTTGTATAAAATTATTTCCAAAGCAAATATTTAAATTTAATTTAATATTTATTTTTCTCCTTCTCTGTTTTAAGCAGCAGTATGTCAAAGTCTTGGCATATAACTTATTTTAGTTTTTAGTACATTAGTATTCTTACCTAGGATATTTTTAAAATACTATATATAAATAAACTGAATACTATATATATATATTATATATATATATATATATATATATATATATGTTTTGTTTTTTTTTTAATATAATTTTTTCCTCTACCCATGGTTGGCTTCCATTTAACTATATATCATTATCATATACTATTATTCTAAGTAAAACAGTGAAAATGAGGACTCTCTTCTAGGCGTGTGCAGCCCTGTGCCTGGTTTGGTGGAACTCACGCTTTTATCCAGAGTGACTGAGCGCGGCGGGCGTTGCTTTTCAGCTGCTCGTCTCTTGGCTGTGTTACGGCGCTGGTGCTGATGCGGGATGAGTCAGGCTGTGGGATGTTGCTGCCATTTCATCAGCACAATTTCCAAACAATTTCTCCGTCTTCGAAACGTGGAGGAAAAGGCGACGGGATGAGCCGCTGTGTGTCTGAGTGAGCTGGTCTGTGCGGCTGTGATCTGTTACCGAGCTTACAGAGAGTCTCTCAGTGTTGGGCGCGCTGCTGTGGGCTGCACCTGTTTACTCTCGCCGTTGTTTTGATCGTTATGCTGTAAGCGAGTACAGCAGGCTGGAGCAGGTGTCTCTCTCTGCTCTGGCTTCTTATCTCTCCGTGCGCTTTCTAGAAAGTCCACCATCCTTTCAGGAGCATGGAGTCTGCCTTCACTGAGCTCTGAGCAGCCCAGACAAACGCAGTGAGTATACACAGACTACATTTAACGAGAGATTAGAGCTGTGTTACTATTTATATTAATATTATTTAGGCAAAATACTTGATAAATAGACGCAGGAGATGGGAATTGATAAGGAAAACGTGCGTAATGCGTAATGGCTGGGCCTCAAGTAGACTAATCTGGTCTTACTGTCCAGTCTCATAGTCTGGGTAATGAAGTAGCCTTAAAAATACTGGACTCACTACCTAATGGCCACTGTGTCAATTTTAATAGGGTTTGCAGTAAAGGAAGACAACAAGTGAGTATCTGAAGTGAGTTATCAATGTGAACACAGGAGATAATAAGGGTGTTTTCTTCATAAAAGCCAGGGCAGGGCTGACCTTGGTGCATGATCTAAACCTGTTTTAAACTACATATCAGAACTGTGGGTGCTGGTTGTTTATGTGCATGCAGCAGATATGTCCTCGCCATGGCTACGGCATCCGGTGTGGGACAATAGGGCCGTGGCTGCTGGCTGCCTGGTTGAATACTGTGGCCTTTTAATGTTTGCACTGGCAGGCGCTCTGTGTAATCCTGGCTGAGCACCACAGTGTGTGTGTAACAGGAGACAGACATCAGCAGCCAATTTACAGTCAGCAGCATTTACCCATAGCTCACTTAAACGGATGTAATTTAGATTATATTTAGTGCTCGAGAGACATACAAGCAAGCAATATTGATAAGTCACTACAACTTGGTTAACTGCTAAATGTATGGAATTTGCCGGGTGCGTCAGATTGTTTTGAAAGAACAGTTCAAAGTAGGTATCAGGATCAGAGCTGATCCAGCGATATTTTAATAGATTGGGTATCTGCTATATTAAGCCTGATCCACCTCTCATCCTTTGTTTTTGTACCCTGTTTGTTTATGACATAAATGTGCCATAAACATACATTATTCACACTGCAGCAAGGCAGTGAGGCACGTTTTTACAAGTTAATAAAAGAAGTGTTGGGAGTGTAGTACTATTTTAAAGAGGTAAACAGAAAGAGGCCACCTGTAGTATCTTTAATGCCAGTGTTCCGACTGTATTTGAGCTTTTTTGGATTTTTACCCAGTTTTCTCCCTAATGTAGTCACATCCAATCTGCTAGAGGTACCCCCATCACATGATGCTACCAGTGCTTCCTCAGAGACACCACCACATCTTTACAAACTGCTATTAATGTCATTGCACACATCAACAGACTTAGCGAAGAATGCTGATCATCAACTAATAGATGCCTGTGTTGGCTATAGCATCATACTGACTGATGAGGGGAGAGGGAGGGTCATCTTACCCACGCAGAGAGATCAAGATCAGTTATGCTGTCTTGGAATCCCGGCCATGGATGGCATTGCCAGAGCTTGAACTCACAATCTCAGACCAAAGTTTAGATAGTTGTGCCACTTGGGAGCCCCATAAGCTAGCCACCTTTGTTGAAATGATTAAACTAGCTGCATGTAAAATGTGAGCATGATATTAAACTCACTGTAAAACAGGGCAAAAACAAAATGTCTCAGCTCAGCATGACATATTAAGCACATTTTGAAAATAAAGCACAGCATTAACTGACAGGCTAGAACATTGTACCTAAACTGGAAAGATTTTACTAGTTAACAGATAAGTGTGGACTGCACAGCTGTATTATTTATGAAAGTACAAAGATCAGTGTCCTCATCATTAAAGGACTCCCATCAAATCCAGGCAAAAACATCCCTAGTTCAAAATACTGATTAAATGGTAAGTTTTACTTCTGGAAATGTGGTTTCAAGTTTATAGTACTGTGTAAGGTTCTATTTGGCATCATTTTGAGAGAGAAAACAGAACAAAGCAGTCCCAGAACAAACTATGTGAGGATAAGACACTCTATTAAAAGACACAAGCAGTAAAACAGAACGCATGGGTTGTTTATTAATTATATTAGGGAATAATATTTTTTTATATCACATTCATTTTATTTGGAAAATAACATGATATTGAGTTTAATCTGTACCACCCATCACTAACTACACTTAGTACCATAGAAGTCTTCTGGTTCCCTAAAGAACCTTGCAGTGAATGCTTAGAGAACCATATTTGTAAAAGAGATGTGAGAGTCTGAAGAACCTAATGTATAGGCTCTATACCAATTAAAGGTGTTTCCTAGTACAGTTCCTCTAAGCAGAGAACCTTTTAGGAATAGCTACTGTTAGAGTGTACCCAATGCTCCAGATGTGTGATCACCAATGCACAGTGAAAATACTTTCTTACTAAAATACTTTCTTACAGCAGTCTGATGTGTAATTACTAAGGGATTAAAATGTAAGCCAACCCTGCAGTGACGTTGTTTCCCCCTTGACACACTTGGACCAGTCAGATAGGCTGCAGACACAAAGAACTCTTTTCCATTCAACCCTCGTTTACATTCACAGACACGATCCAGTGTGAGAGCGACGGGATGTCATGGCATCAAACGCTGTTGTGTGTGTGTTTGTGTGTAAGCTGTTTCTCTCCTGCATGCACTGTAACTGTTTCAGGGTCTCACTGTTGATCTCCATAGAGCCGGACAGCCATGGAAGCGATATGGCTTTACCAGTTTCGTCTGATCGTCATTGGAGACTCCACGGTCGGCAAATCCTGTTTGATCAGGCGCTTCACTGAGGGACGCTTCGCACAGGTGTCTGACCCCACAGTCGGAGTGGATTTCTTCTCTCGCCTGGTCGAGATTGAGCCAGGCAAACGAATCAAACTCCAGATTTGGGACACTGCGGGTCAGGAGCGCTTCAGGTACTGTAGGACTGGGGAACTGTTGCTGTGACCCCACCTGACACCATGACTTCAGTGCTGGAGTCAGCTTTGATTAAAACTTAACAGTTTGTTAAGTAATTGTATGGTGTGAATGGAGGGCTGCCAGATGCCAATACTAGCTGAGCCTCTTCAAGGTGTTGAATAACATTAGAAAAGGTAACAATTTAAAATAACATTTTATGTTATCTCAGGTTCCAAATAGATTAAAGCAACAATCCAGTGGTTTTCCTCAAAAACCATACAGTTTTCCTTTAAATTCTGCTAAAGTAATAATGCACATAGGGATGCATATCACTGCCCTCTACAAGAAAAAAAAGTGATGCAAGTTAAAGCTGCACTGTTTGAGATTTTTTGTAAAAATCAGAAGAAGTAGCATCAGAAGAAGAAAAAAAAAAAATGTTGTGTGTGCGCCGCTGCGAGTCACCCTGTAAAGCCTGAAATAATAATTTAAAAGTCGGAGGTGTCGGGTCGGAGTTCACAGGAGTTTTTCAGTCCACATCATACATGTGATATATATGTTTAACGTCACACGCACTGGATTAAAAAGGAAATCCAGTTTGATGTATAGGTGTAATGCAAAATCAACATTATACTGATAAAGATAAGATGATAACAGTAGATAATTCACTTAAGGTTCTGTTTGACTACTCTTTCAAACTGCTCGCAATCATCAGATTCATCCACTCAAGGAATGGGTCTCAAGCACAACCAACACTGGGCTTCATTCACCTATATCTTAAGGTTTTTCTTAAATGTGTTCTTGAGAAAGGTCCTAAGAAAAAGTCTACATCAGATTCATGACGTGTTCTTAAACCACAGGATTGTTCAGACCTTTGTGCTCTTGAGTGTGTATAGATTTGTTCTTATCTAAGAACAAATCCCAAATAAGAAGACATTGGTGAATGTAAGAATCTTTGTGGAAACTGCGTAACTGTTTTAAAAATACAAGATGCATGCAGTTATACATTTCCACCAAAGAAGTCTCCAAAATCCCCAAATCCCCTAAACTTACATAGTGTAGCTTCAAAGAACAGTGATTTTATTCCAAGTAATTTAGGAGCTTTTCTATTGGTGCATTCATCATGAAATCTTAACACAATGTAAAGGACAGCTGCTGTGTTTAATTGATGAAAAAAATTATTTTGAAATGGTCCATGGTTGTCCCTCAAAATCCACATATTTATCATTTACATTATTTTCTTTTGGTAGAACCCATAAAAACAGATCATGTGATCTTATCGGTCAGCTGGAACTGTTTCACTGCTCCGTCCTCATTTCTGTATGTCACATTACACATTCAGTAGGAACACAGGTAACGGAAACCATCAAGCTAATAGGTAAAAAACAATGCTGAAGAATTTTGCTGAACGTCATTCAAGGAGATCATATCATTAGGCTGTTTTCACATACAAGACAATGTATGCAGCTCAGTGCCCCATTGAAGGCATTTGTTGTTGTGTATCTTTAAAAGGACAGATTTCACAAAAAATCATCAATATGTCAAAACTCTAAAAAATGTTTGAGGAAAACTGTTGGACTATTTCTTTAAGACACTGAACTCCTATTATACACTGACTTCGAACCTGCTTGTGGTAAATTATCTGACAGCTGTCTTTATCCATAAAGATTGTTGTCCCCATGGCAACCATGCTGAGGCATCTCTCCTTAGGGAGTCCTGAAAAGAGCCAAACGTCTGCTCACTCTTTCAGTGGTGACAAAGCTGTTCTTACGTCAGAGATATTTCTGATCAGTGTGATTCACTCAGGCACTTGTTATTTACTTTCTCAGTTGGCATCTGCTGAAAGTCTTTTTTTGGCTCCTCACTAACACCAATTTATCATTCAGCTTTAGTGAACACGTCTTAATTACGTCTAGACTCACCGTTCTTTGGAGCATGCTGGTGGTTTTCTCACTCTGTGCAGTCTGCCTTCTGTTGACTTTGCACCTAATACAACCCAGCAACTTACATTAAACAAATACATTGACCTCAGAGATATAAAACATGTTTTAAATGTACGTCTCTTTTCATCAACAACCTCAGCAATTTCACATTCGGTTTTATTAAATTCCATCTTTGAGTTAACCATGCTCCCCCCATCTCCTCTGACAGGCTCACATACACACATTGCATAGTCCTCAAAGCAGGGTCAGTTGTTGCCTGATATGCTGAATACCGTGGATAGAATGGGCAGAAGAGAGCTGATCCTAGATCACCACCCTTATTAGATAGGTTATGTCCCTTTGTGTCCATATTTAAAGTCTTTTATGTAAACCTAGCCTGTGTCAACACTCATAGAAGGTTTTAGGCACCTAAAAAAATTTACCAAGATATTTATCTGTGCAGCATGTGTTTGTTTGACCAGCTAAACACAAATATTAGAATAAATACAAATAACAAAGTAGTGACTTTATGTCTGTCAGTGTTAGAGTTGTAGTCAAGACCAGTATAGCGAGTCCAAGTCAAGATCGAGACTCTCACTCTCGTGAGCCAGAGTCGAGTCGAGATCAAGACCAGATTAATGTATGTGAAAACAGCATGAGCTACATACATTGTTTTGTATGTGAAAACAGCATGAAAACAGCCTTATGATATTATCTCCTTGATCAAGTCGAGATCAAGATGAGATTTTTTTTCAAAATACAAAAATAAAAATAACAAAGGGGGAAAAAATAGAATTTTATATGTTATACATGTCAATAAAGTGTTATATTTTGTAATAAACAAAAAAAAAACATTGAATAATACATAGCCTACATTGAATAATAGCCTAAAATATTATTCATTATTTTTATATTATATTCTCAGTCCAGCTTTGCATTGTAACTTTTGGAAGCAAAGGATGGTAAGTTTATATTATGTTACATCAGTTGTGGTGGTGGAATTTAACAAATCCATATGACAGTTCGGGGCATAGAGGAGAAAACTGGAAGCAAACTTTGTTCTTTAAACTAGCTCACAAGAGTAGTCAACTACTTTTATCAAAACAAAAAAAGTTTTTATAGCCTTATTGTTTGTTTGCAGTTATTCTAATGATAAATGGTGTTTTGTTTAAATAAAATGTGTCCAGACAAAGGGTTTTAAACAAATAGCTTAAGTGCCTACGACTGTTGGTGCACTTTGTAGGTTCACAAAGTGTTTCTGCAAAATTGATCAGCCTCTTCTACATGGTGTAGAATGTATACTGTCCAATCTATTAGACTGACCTACCTTACTGGCCTACCTTGTAGATGTAAAGACTATAGCTCATCTTTTTCCACACAGTTTGTGTCAAGTCTTCTAGTCCATTATCAGTGGTCAGTCTTTGACCAGTGGACACTGTTGACTGAATATTTTGGTTGGTGGGCTGTCAACCCAACAGTGACACTGAAGTGTTTAAAACTGCAGTGATGCACTCAACACTGCAGCAGTGATTTTATACCCACAAAGTACACCAGTATGGTAACAAAGTCTTTCAAGTAAACTAATGGCCAAATAACCATTCATGTTCCTCCCTGCAGGTCCATCACCAGGGCGTACTACCGCAACTCTGTGGGTGGCCTGCTACTCTTCGACATCACAAACCGGCGTTCCTTCCAGAACGTTCATGAGTGGCTGGAAGAGGCGCGCAGCCACGTGCAGCCGCACAGCATCATCTTCCTGCTGGTGGGCCACAAGTGCGACCTAGAGTCCCAGCGGCAGGTGACGCGGCAGGAAGCGGAGAAGCTGGCTGCAGCATACGGCATGCGCTACGTGGAGACCTCAGCACGCGACGCCATAAACGTGGAGAGGGCCTTTACAGAGCTGACACGGGATATCTTTGAGCTGGTGAAGCATGGTGAGATCGTCATTACAGAAGACTGGGAGGGGGTCAGGAGTGGATTTGTGCCCAACGTGGTGCACTCGTCGGAGGAGGTGACCAAGAGTGAGCGCAGGTGCTTCTGTTGATCCACCTGAAAACTCCCATGACCTGACCCTCACTTATTCAGGATCCCTACAATCAGAGGGCAAGCTTTTGGCCCTCAGTTAAGACATAACCCCTTGCCTGCCTGCTGAATGCTTCCTAAGTCTCTACCCAGCCCCTCCACTATTCCATAGAGTTACTGCCTAACCATTCACAAGACCAGAGCACACCGACCTGAGAAACACCAACAAATGTTGGCTGTTGATTTAGATTGTTTAGAAAAAGAACCAAATGAATCAGTGTGAATGAGCGAGAATGATCTAGATGAGTGTGAATGGAAAAGAATATTCTAGAACATCCAAACAATTGCACATAAGTGTGGCACACCAAACAAATGTTTGAGCTTGTTGGGTCGGAATGCTTTGGCTTTGACCAATGAAAAAAGGATACATTGCAGCACCTTTAATCTCCCCCCTAAAAGGCCAAACAGAACCTTACTTCTGCACCTTACCCTTATCTACACATCTGTCAATCATTTGAAAGCCATGAGATGTTTCCCATGAGGCTACACTGTCTCCAGAGACTGGGCCTGCTGAAGGTATTCACAGAGACTGTTCTACAAGAAGAAAAATCAGAGACAGTGCAGTTGTTTACTTGCAGACTTTTATGTGATGACTACAGAAAGAACTGCTGTTTGGTGCTCAGAACGCTAATTTGCTGCTTGAGCTAAAGGAAAAAAAAGAAAGAAAGACTTTATTCCTTTATTCCTTGTTTGAGGTGTATATGCATACGTATTAAGGCTTTGGCTGTGGATACAATGAGATTGCAATATGGTAGTACATTACACTGAATTCCACAAGGTGGTAAAATAGGCCTCAAGAGTAAGACAGTGAATTTTCACATCAACTGAGAATTTTTTCTTTTTTTTTTTTAGTTCATATCAGAGAACAGATCGAGTCATTGAATTGTTGGAGCATAAACTGTAACCAGAAGTACCAGAGGTACAAAGCCTAAGATCTAAGACAAAACTGTGCTTCTGTGAACTTACCAAAGGGATTTATGTAAGTTTGCAATCAAAGAAATGAGGGACAATGGAAATGAGGTGCACTGTCCTACGACAAACACCATTACACATCTCCGATGCTGTCTGCTTCTTTAAGGTTGAGCATAATTACTTAACTTGTGTACTCCTCAAAGTGTTCTCAGATATCAACGCTAAGGATTGACTTGAATAGTTGGGTTGCACTGGCATTCATACCAACATGCCATTAAACCTCATTATACAAACTGATTTTCTTCTATTTCCCAAATCCCTATCATGCATTTCAGTTCATCACTTCAGTGAAGATCTGCATGACCACCACAGAAATGTACCTCTATTTTCTGCTACCTGCTTCTCACTGTCCCTTTCCTGCTCAATCTGGATTTAATTCATCACACATAGAGCTCTGAAGTTGTGTCGTTATGCCCATAAAAAGAACACTGGGCCTAAGCTTGTTTTCTCATGAAGAAAAATAAATGCCGTTTTCAAAAATCCTTGCCGTCATGCCTTACTTTGCCGTATGTACACTTTTCCCCTGAACATCACTGGATCCTCACAAGGTTGTTAAAGAGTTGAAATACAAATGTCATTACATGCAAGCTAACACTGCTAAAGAACTGAACTGACACCTAAGACTTACCTCACCAAAATACCTTGCACAGCTCAGCAAGCTTTGCCAAATGTGGTGACGTTGCTTTGACAGCAATAGGCTAGTTTGCATATTCTAAATTACAGAACATTCTTCAAGTGTAATAGTAGACTTACTTTCATTCAATGTCTTTTCAATGCACAGGAGTGTTAACTTGCTTGTAGCATCATTAATATTTCGACTGCTAAATGGCCTCACAGTTCAGAAGATCCAGCAACATTCAAATGTACTAAGGAGTAAACACAAAGCATGATGGCTGTGACTCTCAGAAAACCCACTTATTTTTATTGTGGAGAAAACCAGCTTAGACCCAGAGCTTGATATATGGGTATGACACTAACTTCAAAGGTCTGTTGCCCCACGCAGACCTCCAGACTTGACTGGACTGGAATATAATACATATGTTACTTCTCGACCTATGTAAGTGAATGTCTGTTATTCTTAGGGCTGTACAGTGTATTTGCATGTTTATCATTACCCACAATACAGGCCTCTGCAGTAGGATAATCAAACATTTCATTCAGTAATATAATCATACAGTGCAGTCCTAGTCATATTGCTTGATTCAGGTCATTTAAAATGAGGTATTGTGGGGGCAGACTTTGAATTAGGCTTACCTCTCGGTTTGTTTTCATTCTCTTGAGACCACAGATGCTGGCGTGGGTGCATCTGAGCTCCTGAACAACAAAATATTAACTACTGTACCTGTTACACGCGATTGTGGCATTCTGTACCTCTTTATCAAAAGAACTCGAAATGTACTAAAGATTAAAATACCATGGCAAGACTGATGTGCTTCTTGTTATGAGGATTTCTCAATAGTCTCTTTAGGTTTTACACTGTATTCCCTACCACTAGATGGTGGCATTCCATAATAAGCTCAATCAAATGTACTGTAGATACTTCAGAGAAAACTAATTTGAGTAAACACCAGTGCCACCTGTGGCTAGATATTGAAATTTAAAACTTTAATGGTACTGTTTGAATGAGGGATGCACTGATATGATTGTCAAGTGCATATTTGCCATTTTTTAAAATAGTTGTAAATAAAAATGAATAAAATGCAGATATTTCCTTCAAGTATTCCGATAACGAGCAACCTCACTTTGAATTACTCTAATACTCGTCATTTCATGCCAAAATTTTAGTCAGTCTAATCTGTATTTGTGAGCTAATAACACTTATCTAGTGTGCCGATTGGCTGTCTAAATTACATACTGTATAAATGCCATTAAGTTAAGTGCTTCTTGACTGGGCAGACAGCAATTAAAACAAAGTACTGTTAAAAAAAATTTGTCAGAAATTGGTCCCGAAGTCAAGGTATCAGTATCAAAAAAAACGATCGCAATATCGAGCCCTAGTGCCATCTGTATTGTGCTAGAGGAAGCTGTATGAAAGTTACAATTACTACCTTGAAAAGCCACCTGATTCTTTCATAACCCACATTCAGTATTATAATAACAGGAAAACAAATTAAAAACACAGACTGTCTTGTCCATTTTGTGTCTTTCCTCAAAAGCTGAGTTGCTCATTCAGTATTTAATGGGTGCAATGTGACAAATAAATACAGATGAGAGACAGTAGGAAAAAAAAACAAAGTCGAGGAAAAACAGCAGGCTTCAGAGGAGGTGAGAGCTGTGGAGAAAGAGGGAGTGAGAGAGAAGGAGAAAGACAAGGAGCGAGGGGAAGGAGTCAGGATAGACTGGAAGGTCGACCAATGAACAAAGTCCCTTCGAAACACTCGCCCTCAGCGTTCATCCTCTCCCCACATACTGACTCGTGCAGAATTTTCAATGAGCAGTACACGACTCCCACAAACAGCTCTGTGAATACTCAGCGTCGTGAACAGTAGCTCTTACCAGCCGAACATAACATCAGTGAAAATCAGAGGACAATGGAAAAACCTGGTAAAATAGTGTGAAGCAAAAACTATTATTAATTATACTAAAAAGAATACAAAAGAAAACCGCCGCTGTGACTTTTGTTTGATTTCTTTTTCCTTTTTACTTGAAAAAATACTTTAAAAAGTAACAAATCAATAGATAACAGTGTGGAGGCAGGTAGACACATGGGGTGGTTTTACTAACAGGGGAGAAATTTGGGATGTTGGGGGTCAGGGCCAAACAATGCCCCTCTTCTAAGACCTCTCAGCTGATTTGAGGAGGTTGTCTTTGCTCCTCCTCTTGACGTCCCAGTTATAGACACGCGCCATATCTGAAGAGTACACTGTTAAGGCATGACGTTCAATCTTTGCCATAAAATTTATATCTTATCTTACAGGATCAGAACGCTTTATCTAGCACTTTTTATTTTAGTTACAAAACCACAAAATGATTTGTGCGGAAAAATAACCAAAAAATTAAAAAGATAAAATATTGCACTTCAAACAAAAAGCACATTTACAGTCTGTACAAGAAAACAAAGGAAGGGGGGGAAAAAAAAAAAAAAAAACAAAAAAAAACACTAGTCTAGTGCCAACCTGAACAAATATGTTTTAAAACAAAATGGAAACATTTAAATGCTCAAAAAACATGCTTTCTTAATTTTATATTTTCTGCAACACTAATCCAGCTATAGAAGAGAAATACGGTCCAACAACTGAGCAATAAGCAATCCTAGAAATCTGCAGTAGGCCTAGCTCAGCTGAGTGAAGTAGTCTGGATAGGCTTTAATGCTCTGAGATAGGCTGGAACTAGACCATTAATGGCTTTAAATGTCATAAGCATCTACTGCTTCTTTCACTTGCACAAAACCATTGATCGAATCTATTCTCTTTCCTGCAGCTGCACAAAGAATTACTAATTTCACTGGCTTACTCCTTTAACTGAAATGACTGAAAATCAATTTAAGACAAACTGAATGCTTATCCATTTCTTTTAACCTGATCAACATAAGCTGCACTGTAGAGCATCTGCTGGTGTCGCGGATTTCAAATGGAGATGCAGGAAAAAATAGAGGTGCATCATCTCGCTCTCCAAAATCTTTAAAGTTCTCTGGCATAAGCATAAATCTTTGGTGCTTTTCTTGAATCCCAGCACTTCCTTCAATCGGGATTTGACATTGTTGTTGTTTTTTGCATTGCAAGTCTTGCAAAAGACACTGTGAAATCCGATTTGAGCGACCAGAGCATCTAAAATGAGATGCATCTGTAAAAATCCAAATGGAATCGCATTTCAAACCACCTACAAATGTGGTTTGGATCTGGTTTGCAAAAATCAGATTTCATCGTTTTTTGCTGTCCAGACCATCAAAAAAACACAATCTGGATAGGCCAAAACTCGGATTTGGGCTGGCAGTCTGAACAAGGCCCAAGACTGCACAACTTAGTATGATGGTGTCAAGGCAGAGCTCCTGCATTTTCAGAGTCATTCTTCACCTCATACAATTTAAGAACTCTCCAATGCTCCTCTAATAACAGCACTGTCAACAGCACAATAATTATTAAAGCTACAATGTCACCATCTACAGACATCTCAGCTAACAAAAGGAGCACAGACAAGATACATAATCAGAAAGAAAAGACTATTTTCATTCCATGATGATTCTTTACCTCCGAGCAATGTTATATTATGTACCTACTTCTGTAGATTACGTCTTCCTTTTTGAGGAATATCTGCCGTTTGTTTTCTAGCAAATTACAGCTACAAAGGTGGTGTCCATGAAACAAGGAAGAATGAGATTCATGCTGTATGTTAAATGATTCTTTTCCTTCCTTAAGAACAATTTTTACCCCAAGAACCTTAGCAGGATTGAGTAGCCAACAAAGTATGTGCGTTAGCTTAAACTAAAGCTGCTAACAACAGGGGCATGTTTGAGGCACGGACTCTCTGGGCAGCCATATAAGCGGGACTTGCCAATGAAGGACAAGTGCAAAGAGTCAGATACCACTCTATTCAACGCCAAAGTTAAACTTAAAGAACTCAAGGCGTCTGGTACCACGACTACTCTAGATTTTCCACTGTGCCTGAAAAACTACAGAAGTACAGAATGAATTTAACAAACTGGTGGAAAACAACTCACACACCGGGTAAAGTGTAAGGATACTGACTTCAGTGGTTGTGAACTGGTCTCGGAGGAAGTCCAGGTCCTCTTCTAGGGACTCCAAGTTCCGGGAGGCTGTGGCGAGGTTCTTCTCCAAAAGCGACTGAGCTTCATCTATATCATACTCCAACATTACGTTTGCCTTTTTCAGGAAGAGATCACATATGAACATGTGCTTCAACTAATACATATCTTATGCAGCACTGTGCATAAGTTAGAGCACAACTTTTATTTTTTTAATTTCCTGTCAAAAATGATATTACATTATTTATTTATCATAATAAGGAAAATGCAGAAAACATACTACATATAAGACACAGTGGCTTCAAGAACTAACTAACATTTTTTAAACAATTACCTGAATAAATCAACAGGACTCCAGTTTCATTGTGCATCCCTATTAATAAGACCTTTATTCACTTCACAATTGTTAGAATGGATCAATCTATTGCCCTCCCGAGGTTAGAGCTGAAAAAGCCTGATGTACATCAGGACCTTCTCTACACTGTTCTATTTTACCTGCTGTAGTGTCCAAGCTTCTGAAGGGTTTGGCAATCAGCTAATGATTTGAATCAGATGTGTGAGGGCAGATAAAACACTAAACGTTAAAATACAAGTTAAACTAACATGGTCCTCCAGAAGATTTCTGTGGGAGCACTTACCCCAAGCCACAAACACACTTTATCTGTGGGTGGGACAGAGGCCTTGCAGTACACATTATCAGCCAATAGGAAGTGTGTCTCCATTGGATCTGTAGTGTCCTGTACCAAAATATGCAGATTAGTGTACATATGAGTAGACAGATGAAAAGAATACAACAGATAGACAAACAGATAGCAGACAGACTAATAAACAGACAGTAAGTAATAAACTATGACCTCCAAGGGGTTTGTGTCAGTTAAGCTGTAATGTATATATACATAATTTATTCTTATTTGTTCTTTGTAGATGCAAAACACCTCAATAAACTGGCTTTTAACTCACTCACTCATCATGCTCACTAACTCATGTTTAGTAGGCTAAAATGTTTCCACAAGGCTGGGCCAATTAGCAATCAAATAGCTTTTTACTCTTCCTAAGAGCAGCGGTTTATCATGTCATCCTATCGTATCATCAGGGACACTCTGTGTCCTTGTTTGACCAAATGGTCATTTTTCTTTCATTTCTTTTGCTGTTTTGTGTTAATATCACTGCAAAGTTAACTGTGTTAACTGCTTATATAAAAAAAAAAAAAAGTACCATTGAAAATCACTATTATTGAATTAAAACTGGACTTACCTTTTTCTTCTGCATGTGCCGTAAGATTTCTAATGTTTGCTTGATTTGTGGAATCTGGCTTTTCAACCTGAAAAAGACTTAAACTTTAATCATGCTTTTCAATTAACAAACATCATGTAGTCCACAGATTCTCACACCTTGCAGGCACTCATAATGCATAGTTAGTATTTTCACTGATGTAACAATTTTAACAACTCACAAATCCCTAGCAGGATTTTTTTTTAAGAAATTGTGGGCATTCCACATGACTCGATTTGGAAGAAAAAAAACACAGCCTAGTAATATCTGAAAATGTATCAGTATTGCAGCAAACTATCCATGACAAGCAGCTAAACTACAATTCCTGACTGCAGTGTTGATGAACGGTTTCTCTTCCAATGTTTTGTTGGTCACGTAAACTCAATCCATATCACTTTTTTTTTTTTTAATAGTTATTGAGTATGCAAAGAAGTATGCAGTACTTCTGAGTATGCAGATGCAAAGAAGACCCCTATCCAGTCTGTTTTCATTGTCTTGTACTATGTGGATGTTTTAATAAATTAAGGTATTTCTTTAATCTACCAGAAATTCACTGGTCAAAATAAGATGTACCATAACCCCAATACATACAAACCTAATCGCAATACTAATATGCGGCCCTTCTTCACATTAATGCATAAATAAATTCCCTAACCTCAGCTTCTTCTGAGCCAGGTTGAGTTCCATGTATTTATATTTCTGATACTGTTCATCGAGTTTCCTCAGTACAGCATCTGCTGTGTCATTGCCGGGCTGCTTCATAAAGGAATCCACATCCTCCTAAAGAGACAGAGGAGACAGTCACAAGTCAGTGTTTAGGACAGACGGAAGGTGACGGCACCATGATATTAAACCAATCATGGCAGATGGCAGGATTTAGATTAGCTGTAAGTTTAAAAGCTGGTAAATTCTGCATTTTCAGTATGCATATAAAATACACTCAGAGTGCTACTGTTGGGGGTTATAATCACTCTGAGTTTATAATATATGATAACATACAATAAAGGTGCTCTATGTCATGGGGTTCTAAAACTTATACAAAAAAATGACTCTCAATGGCCCTTAATTACAACATTTCATAATAGGATTAATTTTTGTCCACAGCCTTGTTGTAACAGAGGACTTTAATTAAAGATTCATTTTATGTATAATTTACAATTTACTGTTTTCTTCGGCGAGGTTCATTAAGCATTACAAAGAGAGAATTTTTTTTTTTCTCCTTAGCTGACTATCACAGCATTTCACTTAAATGGTCAAAGTAATCTGACCAGTGCAGAACAGTGAGAAAACAAAGACCAGTTTAAGAGAACAAAACTGATAACGGCTGCCACAAATGTGCACTATAGATGATATACTGATATACCGCTGGTTTTAAAGTAGGTAAAAGCCCAGTTTGGTCTCCAGTTAGCCTGTATGAAGCGTTAGCGTGGGCCACAGCCTTAAAAGGAAACGGCCAGACTGCACGAAGCTTAAGTCAGCTTCCTATTCGCCAGCTTCATGTTGGAATTTTCCCGTTCCACCTTAAATGGTGCAGCGCTTACTTCTGGCGCCTTGCCTTGAATGTAACTGGTGCACCATTTAAGGTGGACCGGGAAAATTCCAACAAGAATAGGAAGCTGACTTCAGCCTCGTCCAGTGTAGAGCACCACGCCAACACTGCGGGCAAGCTTACTGCTTCAGCACCGAAAACAGGCTCCAGACGAGTTCACAAAATATCTTAGACTTGGTTTACACTCCTCTGCTCCACATTCACTCACCACAAATATCGCTTCGGGGATTCCGAGGTGTTTTTTCTTGCTCGCCGCTCCAGCATTGCTACTCTCTATGGTCGTCGCCATTTTGGAAAGACTCGTAGCCCTTCCTCTTTACGTGGACGCTGGGCGTTCCTCAAAACACACGCACACAGGCTTTATACAGCGGCGCGGAAGGGGGATAAAATGATAATACAAAAGACTCTGGTTGACCTAAGATATGAACTGTAGTTTTATTTATGATAAATGTGCTTCTAAGTCATCTTATTCAGCGTATGAATTTTACGTGGTTCATAAACAAGCACGTTTTAGTGCCGGGGCAATTCACAGATGAACCAGCAGGTGGCAGCATTTAGCCACAAAACGCTCAAAGAGGCTTCGGCGGAGCAGACCGGAGCGGACCGAGCTGTGAATCAGGTGGGTGGTGAGCAGGGTGGGGGGCACTGATGATTTAGCAGTTACGGATAAAGACTTGTTTTGTTAAATTCTTGCAGTGCCACCCACTCTCACTCTCTCTCTCTCTCTCTCTCTCTCTCTCTCTCTCTCTCCCTCTCTCTCTCCTTCATTATCCCTGTTATCCCACCCTCTTCTCTTCTCTTCTCTTCTCTTCTCTTCTCTTCTCTTCTCTTCTCTTCTCTTCTCATTCTTTCTCCACCTCCCTGTTTTTCTCTTTCTTTCCTTCTCTCTCCTTTTCTCTCTCTATTTTCTCTTTTTCTGTTTATCCTATTCCACTCTTCTGTCTTTCTTTGTATACTTCTCCTTTCTTTCTCTATTTCTCTCTGTTCCTCTCGCTCTCTTTCTTTCCCATGTCACACCGTCTGTTTTTCTTTCTTTCTTTCTTTCTTTCTTTCTTTCTTTCTTTCTTTCTTTCTTTCTGTCCGTCTCTACCCTTCTCTCCCTTTTTCTCTCTCATTCTCTGTTTATCTTTATATGCGCCCCTCCTTTACTCTCTCCCTCATTCTTTGTTTCCTTCCCCTCCCTCTCTCTCTCTCTCTCTCTCTCTCTCTCTCTCTCTCTCTCTCTCTCTCTCTCCTTTTCCCTTCTCTTTGTCTCTTTCCTTTCTCTTTTTTCTTTCCCTGCCAATCCACTCTCTTCTCTTCTCTTCTCTTCTCTTCTTTTCTCTTCTCTTCTCTTCTTTGTTTATCATTCTATGCCTTAATCTCTCTCTTTTCCTCTCTCGTCCATTGTTTTATTTCCTTCTCCTTTTTTGTCTTCTACTGTTTTTCTCTGTGTTCCTCCCTCTCTTTCCCTCCCCCCTCTCTCTCTCTCTCTCTCTCTCTCTCTCTCTCTCTCTTTCTCCCTCTGTCCCTGTCTTTCTTCTCTCACATAGAGACAGAGCCCCTTTTCTTCGTTAGTTAACCTTTACTAAGTGATGTTTGTTCTCCCGTGTCTGATCCTTTAGTAGTGACCGTCTCTCTGTCAGTGCTGTGCCTGCAGAGCGCTGCTGGGCCAACGGGCTGCCATGGTGACACAGCAGATCAGGGTGTGAATGTGACTGGAGGAGATGTGAAATCTGTGTCAGTGGAGGACTCTGAGAGAGCTGAGTGAGAACCAGACTTCAGAAGAGGGGGAAACGAGCACTGCTGCAGCGTTTAAGGCTTTTAGATGTAACAGATAATGTGAAGAGCTGGGATAAGACTTCTGTTAAAAGAGGCTGAGTTTAAGCCAAAATTAAACAAGACAGAGGGCTTTTGCTGCTCAGTTCTAGTATTAGTTTTGAGGAAAATAAATTTCCAGACATTTTAGTCTGTAGGATCACATTTAGACCCTCGCACTATAACACATCACATTCTAAACAAAGTCAGTGAGAGTGTTTTGATGTGAGGTGGTTCATTACAGAGAAACTTATCAACTCAGATTTCTTTACAGTGGTGGTGGTAGAAACCAGGAGTCGTGACATCAGCAAATCAGCAAATATAGCCATTTTATTTACTATCCAAAATGACCAGTGAACCAAAAGATGTCTTCCGAGTTTTTATATGTTCATACTGTAAAAATAGTAGTAAATCTAAAATTAAGTATGTTTTCTGTGGGTACTGCTTTCCCTTACACTCTCAGAAAAAAGGTTCTAAACTGTCAGAGGGGTGGTACCCCACTTGTCACTGGGGTGGTACCCTCAAGAGTACGTTTTCAGTACCTTTAGTTAGTGTACATCGCCCTGCATGTATCTCTCTGCCATGAATGATTTTACAAAAATAACTACAATAAAACAATGTATCAGGCAGTGTATTTACAACAATTTAGTGTAATAACATTCTGTGAGGGACCTTTTAGGTACATTAACCTCTTCAGGTGTCTAGTTCCTATCACCACCATTATGAACAATTCTTACTCATAGTGTTTTTATAGAATGGAGTATTTTACATCAAACCACACTGAAAGACTTTATGTACATCTTAACAATTTAATTTTGAGAATTTGGAGGAATTCTGGGCAGCATGGCTGTTGCCTCACAGCAAGAAGGGCCTGGTTTCGGTTCCCTGGCTGGGCGACCAGGGTCCTTTCTGTGTGGAGTTTGCATGTTCTCCCCCGTGTCTGTGTGGGTTTCCTCCCGGTGCTCCAGTTTCCTCCCACAGTCCAAAGACATGCAGTCAGATTAATTGGAGATGCTAAATTGCCCCTATATATGAATGTGTATGTGAATGTATATGTCTGTCTGTCTACCCTATGATGGACTGGCGACCTGTCCAGGGTGTTTCCTGCCTTCCACCCAATGACCACTGGGTTAGGCTCTAGTGACCCAGAAGGATAAGTGGCTTAGGTAGTGTGTGTGTGTGGAGCAATACCCCTTTAATATAACAGCTCTAATAGGCTTAATAACCTCTACTAATGGGGCAGACTTCAAAAAACAAAAACTAGTTTGAATAAAGCTCTGAAATTTTACATGGTTGTGTGAATTAAACTTTTTTTCTTTGCTTGATTTTATTTTTGGAAATTCATGACATGACCAGCCAGGCCCCATGTGAGCTGACATGGAATGACCCAAATGTAATTATAAACTTCAAGTGTAGCTCAACATTTCCTGAGCACTGAACTTTGTAATACTGTAACACAGTATTTTGCTTTTGTTTTATAAAAAAAAATCTATTGATCCAGTGTCCTTGGACCCTCCTCCTTCCTGCTCCATTTTCATAATCCCAGATGTGGAATAAAGCTACAGACACACAGCACTTACTGCCATAATGTCCTCTAAACTGTAGCCATGTAACTGTAAATTACCCTAAAGCAGGCCTTTTGAATACGCTGATCCACTTAACAATAAAGAAAATGAGACTAGCTGAGCTTTGCTGTGGAGCTTTATGCACCATGAAAGGCTTTCAGTCTTGTCTCTGGTGTTGTGGATTAGACAAACTACAACATATACAGCTTCCTGAGGCCTTTACTGTATGTTTTGTTTGAAGGGCATGTAGTGCACTTGTTTCTTAGTTACACTCTTAAAAAAGATGGTGCTTCAAGGGTTCTTTAGTAAAGAAAATGGTTCTGTATAGAACCATGAACACTTAAAGAACCCTTTGCATGATTAAGGGGTTCTTTTGCATCATGAAAGGATTCTTCAGATTGATGGAGAATGTGTTTTATATGGTTCCATATGGAACCTTTTTGAAAATGGTTCTATATATCACTAAGATGGGTACTTCCATTGTTACAGGCTTGACATTGTAACAACAGAATAACCTGTTTTGGTGCTATATAGAACTCTTTTCAAAAAGGTTCTATATAGAACCATCTACAGCACATTCCCCATCAATCTGATGAACCATTTAACGGTGCAAAGAACCCTTTAATTATGCAAAGGGTTCTCTGAGTGTTCATAGTTCTCTATGGAACTGTTTACTTAAGAACCCTTGAAGAACCATCATTTTTAAGAATGAAGTTTTATTACAGAAGTGTGTGTTCTGCACACTCATAATGACTAGACATATGAAGATCTTTTTACCCAGAACACTGTGTAAAAGTCAGAGACCACGCTTCTTTTATTTCAGTTCCACAGTAAGTACATGTTATTTTTTTCAGGAGAGATTTCTGAGGAGATTAGATCTAAGATAATCCTTTTGCATAATGAAGGGCAAGACAAAGAAAATGAAGTGAAAAACCACGAGTCTCCAAAACTGGAGTTCAAAACATGATTCAAAGATAATAGAGAAAGTGGGACTCCTCATGACCGTGCCAGACCTGGTAGACCACCAAAACTATCACCATCAGATAAACAGCGCTGAAATCTTTCATCTTTGAGAGAGAGGAGAAAATCAAGCTCCACTGTTCATCCTTCCACTGTGAGAAGAAGACTCCTCACTATGAGTCTGAAAGGATGTGTAGCTGTCAAGAAGCTGTTACTGAGAAAAGAAACTAGAAAAAAAAAAGAAAATTTGCAAATCAAACAAAGAAGCTGCTGGTGTTCTCAGAACATTGAACACTGGTCCAGACCTCAACATCAATGAATGTGTTTGGATTACTTGGAGAAGCAGAAAATGCAACCAACTTCTAAGACTAAACTTTGGAGGTGTGGAAAAATATCCTCAAAGGTTTCTTTGTAAAGCTGAAAGCAAGTCTTCTGAAAAGAATGGAGGCGGTAATAAAAGCAAAGAGTGGACAAACTAAATACTGAAAACTGAGTTTTGATGTTAAGTAATCGTGATTCTGAAAAAAATGCATTACTTTTTAACGGTATTCAGTGGAAGTTAAATGAAATAATAAATAAATAAATGATTTTTACACAGTTCTGTATGCGCACACACCTCTGTACACACACAGGTTTGTTTTGTGCACTGCCAGGACAGTGAGCACCTGTATGTATTATATGTAAGTACCCATATGTAATCATAACATATCCCATATGTATTTGTCCATTTATATGATTTTGGACGATTAACCTGGGTCTATTAAGGAGCCTGCATCTTAAACCTAAACGTCAAGGACATTTTACCTAACGCACACGCGCACACACGCGCACACGCACACGCGCCCCTCAAACCTTCAGCAATCAGAATGATTGACTCGCCTTGTTGTGTTCGATGGCAGGGCAGTGATTTCAGCCCCAGCCTTCGTCAGAATTGCGTCAGAGCGACGAATTCAGCAGAGAGAGAGAGAGAGAGAGAGAGAGAGAGAGAGAGAGAGAGAGAGAGAGAGAGA